AGGTTGGTTTTAATGTGGTATTTGAAATCATATCACTGAACTTTTCTTGTATTATTTATCTTTATTGCATTAAAATCTTTTTGTCTTGCACTGTGAATGAATCTGTGGATGATTTTTGTGACATTATGTCTTGGCAGTTGGAAAATATGGATTAGACATGTCTTTCAAATGTTGGCACACATTCATGTGTATTAATATTGCCATTGATCTTAGAAAAGAGGAGGTCTGAGTACTAGGGAGATACAAATGATACAAAATTCAAATCTTTTAGTTAAGACCTGACTTTTATGATTGGTGATAACTGTTTATTTTCCTTGAAGTAAAAGACTATCTTCATTCAGTCTAAGAATAAGGCTGCCAAATAACCAAGCCTAAGCAATCATCTATTGGCAGTTTTACAACAGAAATCATGTTTTATAATAAAAGCAACTAGTTTAGCTTGCAGTTCAGTTGCACTTTTTTGTTGTTGTTTTGTTTGGTTTTAGACAATCAGCTTCCTTCACTATGTGATAGAAATTATGTATTTTGAAATTTAATAAATTTAATGATTTTTATTCCTTTGCAAGGGTATTTTTTGGGAGTGTGGCATATGTCCCATTGCTGGATTGTGTATTGAACCTTGGGTCTTACATGAGGTAGGCAAGTGCTCTACCACTGAGCAGGATTCTTGGCCCTACCAAGGACATTATTATTTGAGACTTTAGTGGGGTATAGAGTCAGGAGGGACCAGGGAAGTATGCAGTGACTCTAATATACTTTGCTTGTGCTTTGATTCTTGAAAAAAATTCAGAACATTAAAAAAGATAATCTTTGTATGTTATGATGAAAATAATTTTACCTTGTGAATTTCCTGACTTGACGGTCCTTGGGCTCTCTTTTGGGAGCTGTTGGTACACTGGAATTGAATACCTTGGAAGGCAAGGACTTCCTGTATCATGCTCACTGGTGCTGGTGTATCTCTCATCTCTCATCTGGAGATGTTTACCCATCTTCAGTAGACCACTCATGTATTGAATCTTGTTGTCTTTCTTATGTTTGCTTTCCTTCTGGTGAAGCACACTGCATGGAAACTTCTTGAAGAAGAGTGAGCATGACATTCAGTTTTGAGAACTTAATCTTCTAAAAATGTCTTTTTTCTAATTTCACATTAGACCACTGATTTGGTAAGATAGATAGAAAGAGACTTGAGCTTGGAATTAGTTTTTCAAAAATTTGATAGTGAATTTCTTTGTTTCTTGTGTTGCTGTTTGAAAAGCTTATGCATTTTATTATGCTTTATTTTATTTTGTGACTCTTTGGAATTGTCTGGGATATTCTTTTTATTCTTGGTGCCTGATAATTATTATTATTTTTCTTTGTTTAGGCTCAGAAGGGCCTTCATGTATACTAGGCAACATCTCCATGTCTTATTTTTTTTTTTTTCTAAGTTATCCCTGGTATATGTTTATTTAAAAAAAAAAATCACTGTCTCAAGCACTTGGGATATGCACATGTTTTAATTCTTAGAGATTCTTTGATGTGTTTTTTTCATTTCTTTTTCTATTTTTTTGTAATGGCATCTTTATCAGTTAAATATTGAATTTTCTGGATAGATGTCTTTTATTTTAAGGTTTTCAATTTTTTCATGTTTGTCCCATTTTCTTTTCACCTTCTACGAGTGTTTGACCTTTTTCAACCTCATCTTGTCTGTCATTTATATTTAAACCAAGCTTTCCTTGGAGCATTTTCCTTTTTTTTTCTTGCTTGCTGGGACATATTTTCATTACCTACCTGAAAATATTAATGAGTTTTTGTTCTTGAAGTTTTTGTTGTTGTTTTTCGCTTTATGTTCCCATTTTGCTATAAGTTGCTTTATTTCTGTTTTCTGCCTTCTGGTTATTACGGTTGTTTTTTGCTTTTGTTTTGTGTTGCTGAGTGCTGTGTGCGGGCCTCACAGCATCAGTGAGATGCTGCAGTGCTGAGCCATGTCTTGGGGCCTATCTCTTAGGACTGAGGCTTTCTTTATCTAGTTGGCTCTCATGTTGTGTATCCACTAAAATGTTAACAGAAAAAGACTTTCTAGAAAATGTTCACTCTGTATTTGAGCTTGTCAACAGAGGGCTATGTTATAGGGTGATGGGAGCTGGCCATTTTATTCATGGGACCTTCAACTACATTGCCCATTGGGTACAGTTTAGTTTTTTTTTTTTTATAGAGATCTTTTTTGTTGTTGTTAATTTTCTATTTTAATAATTTGTTTATATATTTTACATACTGACTGCAGTTTCTCCTCGCTTCCTCCTACTGTCCCTTTATAACCCTGCTCCAGCCCAAAAATCTCCTCCATTTCTCTTCAGAAAAAGGCAGTCCTCTCATGGATATCAACAAAACAGGACATATCAAGTTGCAGTAAGACCAAGCAACTCCCCATATATTAAGGCTGGGCAAAGGGACCCCGTATGAGGAGTAGGGTCCCAAAAGCCTGTGTAAGAGTCAGAGACAGTCAGTGTTCTCAACTTCACAAATATGTAGAGGGCCTAGGTCAGTCCCATTCAAGTTTCTGGTTGTTGGTTCAGTCTCCATGAGTTCCTATGAGCACCGGTTAGTTGATTCTGTAGGTTTTATAGATATCTTATTTCCTTCTAAGGATGTATATTTGTTTTCAGAAATTTTACTTAACCCCCTTTACTTGTAGTTTGATATCACTATGCCTCCCCACTTTTTAAAAAACTGAGCTCTTAGACCTTGCACTCCCCATCTAACACACCATATGTCCTACTGGGGTTGGAGAAGGCTAATCACCTGGCCAGATGGCATGGGGGGAGGGGACCTGAGCATATTTCTTGTACAGAAATTCAATCAGTTCCATGTTTCTAGATTTATACTTCATTGTACCTGTGTGGTGTGTTTCAAACTCATCATTTATTCTGATTTTTGTTGCATGAGTTGGCTTTTTTCTTGTTGAAATTTTCTGTAACATGCGCTGTATTCAATTTTTGTAGTTTTAAATCCTTCATCAGTTTTTCATTTGCTAAAACCTGATTTATCTTGTCTGTTGTTTCTTGTTGTCTTCTAGTTTCTCTCTCTCTCTCTCTCTCTCTCTCTCTCTCTCTCTTCTTTCTTTCTTTCTTTCTTTTTTTTTTTTTTCTGAGACAGTTTATCTGTGTAGTCCTGGAACTAAGAGAGCTGCCTGCCTCTGCCTCTGGAGTGCTGGGACTAAAGGTTTGCGCCACCACCAGTCTAGTTTTTTTTTTTTTTTATCCTTGTGAACTTACTTTTTTATTCCTTTAATTGTGCTTCACATTTATTTATTTATTTATTTATTTACTTACTTACTTACTTACTTACTTACTTACTTTAAGCCTGGCAGGCCTCCTACGTGTTCATGCATATCTATGTATCATCTATCTATCTATCTACCTACCTTCCTATTTATTTATTTTAAACCTGGTTGGCCTCTATTTGTGGAAATCCACATGCTCCTATCTCCCAGATGCCGAGATTCCAAGTATTCCATCATACCTGACACTTTAATATTTTTTTAAAGTAAGAGTGTAAAATCCTTGCAATCCTGGCATTTCAGTATTTTCTAAATGATAGTATAAAAGACCTAATAAAAAGTCATTTTAATTTAAATACTTGTTTATAGAAAGGAAAATTTATATGTTTTTTGTTTTGTTTTTTGAGACTTGTCTGCATCATGCAGGCCCGACTGGTTTGAAGACATGAAACTTATTATGCAGACCAGACTGGTCTTGAACTCACAAAGATCTGCCTGCCTCTGCCTCCTGTGTGCTAATTTTTAAAAATGTATACTGCTATACATGTCAGTTTGTCAGTTCTTAAGGTGAAAACAAAACAAAGTAAAAAGGAACAAAAAGCCAAGAAGTAAGAAAATATTATTATTATCTCTGAATTGGGTATATATTTCTTATACGTAAAATATATACATATACAGGGATATCTAATATAGATGTAATATGTATAGATCTATAAATAGCTATTATATACATATGTGTTTGGAAACATGTAGCTGTGTACTTTACACATGTGCATATGTGTACATTGTATGTATACATATAATTTTATGAACATTATTTTTAAATGGAAAGCAACATGGTAAGCTTTTATTCAGGGCTGGTTTTCAGCTTGGAAGCTGACTAAAGGATGTTAGTGACTCACTGAAAGTTTCAAATCCAGGCTTCCCAGTGTTTGTTGGACATGTGAATTGAGGCTTGCTGTGAAAGCCTCACAGCAAGCACTCCCCCCATAACCTGTGATTCAAGGAGAAAAGGGACTCCCCAAAAGTTGTCCTCTGACTTCGACATTACACCAAAGTGCATACTTGGCCAACATATCCTATATGTATGTATGTACAGCCTTTTGTAACTAGAGTCCTAAGGAATCTGATACCATCTTTTGACTCCATGGACACTGATTCATGTGGTGAACAGACATACATTCAGGCAAACACACACATAAAATAAGTAAAATCTAAAAAAAAACCCATTTAATTATTTAGAATGCAGCTTGAAAAATATGACTCTAAAGTGTCTTTCACCTTCAGGGAGTGTAAAAATGGAGGACTAGATGGTTAATTACTAAACAAAATATCATGTAGTTAATGATAAGGACAACTTATGCTGTCAGAAAACTATCTTTAGGATTGATATTCAAAAGACATTTAAAAAAGTTGGTGCAAATTCAAGTTGTTCAGAATGTGTTAAAAGTTCATTGATAAGCAAGAAGATTGTGCTAAAGCTATTTCACATGGGTAGGGAAAAAAAGCCAATCATATTTTACTTTAAAATTTTTTTAAGATGTGGTAGGGTATGGTGGTATGTGCCAGTAGTTCAGCTACTCTGGAGGGATGGGAGGAAAATCTGTTGGCTCCAGAAGTTCACAGCCAGCTTAAGGAACACAGTTATTATTTTTTTTTTCCTCAAAAAGTTTAAAAATTTTTGTCTTGAATTTCATTTGTCGCATTACTAAATTAGGAATGTTTTATTGTAACCTTGTAGAGATGGGACGCAGGTCATCAGACACTGAGGAAGAAAGCAGAAGCAAGAGAAAAAAGAAACACCGGAGACGCTCTTCTTCAAGCAGCTCTTCAGACAGCAGGACTTACAGCCGCAAGAAGGGTGGGAGGCGGCCAAGGTCTGAGTCCAGATCCTGGTCTAGAGACCGTCAGCCTCGCTCCCATTCTTATGAGAGAAGGTTAATGCTTGTAATTTCTGCTTATACAACACAGAGAGTAAGAGAGTAATGTTCCTAAGAAGTCATTTTATTTTGTATTTTTAATTTTGTTGGATAAAATAATGCTCTTTTAATAGTTAGAAACTTAGGAGGGTGAAATCTTAACCCAGAGGTTTTATTTATTTATTTTCACTTTTTTTTTTCTAATCAGGCCTAGTGTCTACATCCTTTGTATGTAACAAGCAGATAGAAGTTGGTATAGTTCTTGCATTTTCTGATGACATTTGGAAAGATTGTATATTACTGTGACCCATAATATCATAAATAGTAGCTCGTCCCACTGTGAGTCATCTGTCTGGGTGTTGGAGATCAGTAATGTTTTATTTACTTGGTCTTCTTTGAGGAAAGAGGGAAGCAACAAGAATGAGACAATTTTACATTCCCCCTGGATGCTCACAACCAAAACTTTGCATCACAGTGAAGCTTATGGTTCATTTCAGACGCAGGCATAGGTCAAGCAGCAGTTCTTCCTACGGCTCCCGAAGAAAACGAAGTCGAAGTCGTTCCAGGGGTCGAGGGAAATCCTATAGAGGTCAGCGTTCTCGGTCCAAAAGCAGAACAAGAAGGTATGCCTATTAGTACTTATTGCTTTTAACAGGCTTTCAAGACCAGTGGCTCACAACAGCAGTGGTTTATTTTTCTTTGGGTTCTACAATTCGACTGGCTTCAGAAGGCAATTCTGCTTTTCTCATTGGAGACTGCTCATGTACTTGTCAGTATCTGATGGCTTTATTGGATCTGTATGGCTCAGTATAGCCTCACTGATACATGTCGTGAATCTTTCTGGCGGGGGCTTCTCCCTCTCTGAATGATGGTGGAAGTATCTGAAGAAGGAAGAGCAGGAGTTGCAAACACAGGGTTAGAACTAACATGCTATGCTATGAATTGAGCATGTATGTCTTTCCAAAATTTGTTAAGGCAACTTGAGCAGCCTAATGTGTGCTGCATTACTCCAGTGTTTTCTAGCTTTGCTTTAGGTCCAGTGTAGGGATTAGCATGTTTGAGGAGTTGGGTATCTTGGACAGTGGTAGGAAAAGTGATTCAATAGAATAGGACCATTGTAATGAGGGAATTGATGGAAGTAGGTACGTAGAAGTCATTGTGAATGACAGGTGACTATTGGAATAAATGAAAGAATAAAAATAGTGTTTTGTTGTTGTAGTTTTAATTCATTTATACATTTTACATCCTAGTCACAGTTTCCCCTTCTTCCTCTTCTCCTAGACCTTTCTTCCACCCCACCCCTCATTCCTACTTCCCAATCCACTTCTCTTTTTTTTCTGTAAAAATAATGTTTTAAAGATTGCTTCTTGTCTCTGCTTGTGTCTGTGTAGTATTAGTGTAATGGCCATAAAATGTATAATTCTCTTTGCATGTGAAGCTTGATTGCAGTAAAATCTAAATGTTCAGCTTCTCTGGATTTTTGATATTTGACATTGACCCCCCCACCCCCGTCTGCTTTTTTATTTATTCTTTGTATAAACCACTTTGTATAGTACACTGTTGTTCTCTATACATGCCCCAGAGTTCCAAGGTTTTGTTTTTATTTGCATATATTCTTTGTTCCAGCTTTTTGCCATCATCTCTTCTTTGAAAATACTTTCTACTTTTTTAATGTTCAGTTCTATAAGACCATTAATTCTCTTTCTTTAATTTTTTTATTGATTTCTGTCTTTTCTCCCCAAGTCAAATTTAACTTATCTTTTTTGAATATTCCATGTATTTTATGATTTGTAACAATTATGAACATTGTGATCTCAGTTTGAATTAAAATGCACGGGTGCTTTTCTTGGTCTTATATCAATTCTGCCATACACACTACAGTCATGGTGACTTTACAGCCTTTTTTAATTTTGAACAGGAATATTTGTGATCTTTCTCAGTGATTGCCTTGTGACATTTCATATGAATATGTTTGTTGCTAACTCACCTCATTCTATTATAACAGCCTGGTGTTATTTTTGGTCAGATTTTATTAAATTTAAACACTAAGGTCAATTCTACATTCTTTTTAGTGCATAGTCTAGGTTTTATTTTACTTTTATAAAGAAAGTTTTTCTCATTAAAGTTTTTGTTTATTTCTTGATAAATTTATCCCAAAGTAGTTTAACTTTTTTACTGCTATTATATAGGGTTTTGTGTATATATAATATGTAACTATTTGTTATTTTTCTGTAAGAAATCTGCGGAATTCATATTAGTCTTATATCCTATGCCACAGAGTTCTTTTATTGTTCCAGTTCACATGTGGCTGTCTAGGGCTTATCTATAAATAGGAGTAGCTTTGCTTTCCTAATTCTCATTCTTCCCATTCCTCCTGTTATCTGATTGTGTTGCTTTTAACTTTTAGGCTGATGCTGAACAGCACTGAAAAGGATATACATTTTTTTCCTGTGATTTTTATTAATAAAATGTCCTGAATTTCCTGTCTCTGGGCTTATAGCGTGTATACTTTGCTGTTTTATGAGAGAGCCCATCACCCCTTTTCCAACTAGAATTGGGTACTAAATGTTGAATTTTCTTGAAGCTTTTTCATCCAGAAAGTTCTCTTGAGGAACCAGTGTTGGATTTCTAGAGTAAACCTCAGTTGATCCAGATTTTTGTTAAATTTTCTTGGTGTGGTATAAGAGTCTGCTCTTTTAATTTTTTAACTTTGTACATTTTTTTACATTGATATTTATATGTTATATTTGTCTTTTTTGTACTGGTTTTATTAAATTTAGCAACTACATTGTTTGCTCTTTCTTCACAAAGAGAACTTGCAAGCTTCCCTTCATTTTCAATGCTCAGGGACAATTTTGGTTTTTAGGAGTCTGTTCTTTGAAGCTATTGTAGATTCATGAAATCCTCTGGGCCCAGTGCCATCACAGTAACTTCCTTGATTTCTTTAACAGAAATTGATCAGCTTGAATATTCTGTTTCATTTGACTTATTTTTGATAAACTTTTCTTGTTTAGTACATTGTCCATTTCATTTGGATTTTAAAATAAATACCTAGAAGTCTGCAGAATACCCTGTAATGATTCTAGGCTTTTCTGCTATTTCAGTGCTCATTTTCCTTTTGTCTTTCATTAATTTATTTATTATAACTTTTTTTTTCCTATTTAAATTACCTGATAGACTACCTAGACTTAAAAGAAAACACAAACAAACAAAAATGCCAGACTTGGCCGATGCATGTCTGTAATTAGCAGCATAAAGGAGGCAGAGGTCATCCTTGGCTTTAGCAAGTTTGAGACTTAGCATGGGCTACACAGACCCTGCTTCAGAAAACAAGCACATTAAAAAGTAGATTTTGATTAATATACCTTCTGTTTCTCTAAGTTATTAATCATTGCTTTCATTTGTATTTCCTATTTTGTTCTTGGTTTTTATGTACTTACCTTTCTTCCTCCCTCCCTCCCTCCCTTCCTTCTTCCCTTTCTTTCCTTCTTTCATTTTTTCAAGATAGGGTTTCTAGTATTGTTTTGGCTGTGTTCCTGAAACTTGCTCTGTAGATCATGCTGACCTAGAACTCACAGAGATCTGCCTGCCTCTGCCTCCCCAGTGCTGGGATTAAAGGCATGTGCCACCAACGCCTGGCGCTGTACTTACTTTTCTAATTAAAAATAAGTTTGTGTGTGTGGATTGGTCATGTTCATGCTATGGTGTGTGTGTGGAGGTCAGAGAACAACTTATGGGAGCTGACTACTTCATTCCAACTAGTGGGTTCCAGGGCGTGAATGCAGGCATGGCTCTAAGCACCTTTACCCATCAACCATCTTCCCAGCCCTTTTGTTTCTTACCTTTGAGTTGGGAGTTTATATGTGTTTGTGTAACTCTTATTGATAAAAGTGTTTAAGGTTACAAATTTTCCTGAAACCACAGCTTCAATTATATTCAATGGACTTTTCTCCCTCAAGATATTAAAACTTTCAAGTATATAGTAAAGTTGATATAATTTTATATTGAATACTCATATATTCACTACCTAGACTTTTCCATTAACTTTCTACTTGATTTATCACATGCCTTCCCATTCCTTCCTCTCTGTCCATTAATTCAGCCTAAGGATTGAATCCATAGTTTCAGACATCAGTATATATTCCCCTTAAATACTTTAGTATCTACTCACAGAATTTAATATTTTATAAATTTTTCTTTTGAAAAGATACTTTAAAACTTTTTTCTTTTCTGGTAAAATTCATAAATATTACAATGCACAATTCTAAGCATACATTTTCTGAACTTAATGAAGGCATATACTTTTAAAAATAATAGACCTTTATCATTTTCTGATAGTTCACACATAACTTTTCTTAATTCCTGCTTGCTAGATGAACTGAAATCACTGTTTTTGTTTCTTTTTGAGTAGATTAATTTCACATATCTGCATTCATACACAATGTTTATTTTTGCTAAGGCTTATTATTAATACTTTTGAGATTTATTTATTTTTAATTTTGTTTATACATATATATTTATATTTTTTTTATTTTACATATCGATCCCAGTTCCCTCTCCTTCCCATGTTCCCTGACCGTCCCCTCCTGTCCCATATTCCACAGGGAGGGTGATACCCTCCAGGAAGTATCATCAAAATCTGTCAACTCATTTGGAGCTGGGTCTAGGCCCTCCCTCCTGCCTCTAGGCTAAGGGAGTATCCCTCCATGGGGAATGTGCGCCCAAAGTCTTTTCATGCACCAGGGATACATCCTGGTACCACTGTCAGAGGTCTCTTAGACTGCCCAGGCCTTCTAACTGAGACCCCTGTTCAGGGGGTCTGAATCGGTCCAATACTGGTTTCTCAGCTATCTGTCTGGGGGTCCATGAGCTCCCCCTTGTTCAGGTCAGCTGTCTCTGTGGGTGTCTCTAGCCTGGTCTTGACCCCTTTGCTCATCACTCCTCCCTCTCTGCAACTGGATTCTAGGAGTTTGGCTCAGTGTTCAGCTGTGGGTGTCTGCCCCTGTTTCCATCAGCTACTAGATGAGGGCTCAATGATGGCATATATGTTAATTATCAGTCTCATTATCAGGGAAAGGCATTTAAGTTAGCCTCTCCACTGTTGCTCAGATTGTTAGTTGGGGTCATCCTTGTAGGTCTCTGGATATTTCTCTAGAGTCAATTTTCTCTTCAAACTATAATGTCTCCCTCTATTATGGTATCTCTTTTTTCGCTGTCATCTATCTATCTCCTGACTCAATCTTCCTGGTCATATATGTTCTTCTCTCCCCCCCCCCCCTTTCTCTAAACTCTTTCTCTATCGCGGTAAATAAAGATCAGGATAAACAAATAGACCGAATAGATGTTTATTCAGGGAGAAATAACTTACAACCTAGACAGATGAACACCAGGAAATTCAACCCGATCCTCTCCTGTCCGAGTCACGCCAGAAAGAGAACCCCTTTCCTGGCCCCCTCCGACCTCTTTCCACAGGTCACTCCGCCCATGGCTCCACCCCCCAATGGGCGTGGTCAGTGCCACAGAACTATCTCACTACATTTCTCTACTCACTGCCCCCTCTCCCAATATGCTCAAGAGATCTTGTTCCTTTCCCCTTCTGTGAGGGACCTTGTATGAATCTCTT